ACGGAAGAAAAATTTACCACTTGACTTCTTTTGGAGGCGAGTTCACCTCAACGCTAAGGATGGCCGTGGTACCAGCATCAACAGTCTGATCTTCCAAGCCTTTTGTAAACTCCAATGCTGGCACTTTTACAGTAAGCTTGCATGATGACTGCGCTTCCTGGCCTTCTTCGTCTGATACCACCACCTAAAATGTGGGAGTTATGTACTGTTTGCGGATTTAACTAAAGCCTGAATGTGTTAAAACTCGAAACTTTCAAAATGAAAACAAAAAATTTTTCTCCGCATATAAAAGTAATCTGGGAAATGGAAATCAAACTACTACTAAATCTCACAAAATTCAAAAATTTTGAACTTAAAAAGATGAACTGAAGAACATTTATATTGAGAGTCAAAACAAACAGAAAAATTTTAAACTAGTGCCAAAGCCTAAATTCGAAATGTCATTTCAGATTAGCGACAGCCTACCTTGTAGTCGCCGGTGACATCCTTATCAGCATCCGGAATTTCAAGTTGATAAACAGTATCAGAGACTTTTTTCGGTTTCGCTTTGTCCGTTGCTGGCAACTCTCGACCATTTTTGTACCTACATTATACATAGAGAAAAGTAATCTACAAAATCCTTTTTATTATTCATTTCTATTCCATCGTCCTTGATAGGTTCCTGAATTTGTGCCTTTCAGGAGAAAAGCAAAACTGGACATGTGATATCGCAGCTTCCACGAAGTTGTTTATCCTGCTAACCTGCATTTAATATTTGCACGCAACATGCTATGTCAGAGGCGATACGGACAAGGTGAAAATGAAGAAAGGATAGCTGAAAGAATTAAAAAGCTTAGAAAAGGATGAGATAAGACATTTCGGCCCATTAAGTCGTGAATGACTTAACCCGGTATCGCAGCTAGATCTTATCATTAAAACTGTTGCGGTGCAAATTTAAAACGCGCAGAGAGGCCAAACACAAAAGGGTACGTTTACCGTCAGCATTACATCATTTTCACGATGCTCGATGTGTAACTATTGAACCACCAATGGGCATCGCTTCTTCTATGTTGAAG